AACTAAATAGGAATCGAACCCTTCACTCCTCCTTTTGAAAATCCCTGCTTAAAGCTCTGCAGAAAAAGTAACCCTTGTGCTAGTGTTTAAGAGCATATGACCAAGCTAACAGCTATTTTAATTAAAAAGCACAGCCCTGCTGCCTGAAGAGCTTTTCTGCTCAAGACAAACATTTGGTTCCTAAGCTAGCTCCCAGTGCAGCAGTTATTTAGTGGAGACAGCCGTTAGCACACTGTGCTTCCCCCGAGACAAAGGTCACCTAGATTTTAAAATATACAGTTCACTGGAGCCCCCTTTTCAGGGGGAAACAAAGCCTAAATAAATACAACTGCCATGGGAGTCTCGTCTTCCCAGCCACAGGGGTAGAAATAATGAAAAAAAAAATAAAAAATGCAAGCTGGTCAAGCCTGGAACTGAGGCACTGTAACACAGATCTTTCAAAACTCACTTGAGCATGGACGTAGTGTGCATCTCCCAAACCCAGAGACTCGCCCCACAACCCCTGACGCAGCACTTCAGGAGGAAAATGTGCAAATGACATAACCCAATAGATGCCAAAAGTGTTGAATCTCTGCTGCGTGTCATTCCTGAAAGGTGATTGGAGCCAAACACAGCTTGATGACGATCTGAAACACTGCGAACTTTCTACAGTGAAGTAGGAGTCCTCCTCAGCCAAGAAAAACAACCATTTAGAGCATTTTATCTTATTAATTACTTTAGTACCCATATTCTCAAGTCATCTTTTCTTGACACTGAGCTGCATAAGTTAGATCAACAGAGCAAACAGGTGGATTTTTAAACAAAACCTTGTTTAAAAAATGAATTGTAGTCTGCAATGACTGAGCAGCCTTTAAATTTTCTGATGGTTTCATGGTGTCACCCTAACCTTCCACATGACTTTACAGCCCTGGACCGCCATCACTTCTTCTGCATCCGCTCACCCATGAGACCGCTCTGTACATTTTAATTCCTGGCCAGGATTTTTTACCAGATTAGTGAGTTGAAGTGGCACACTCCAAGAAATACCAGAGCCAGCACAGGGGAAGGAGGGGAAGAGTGGCTGGGAGTAGGGAGAGAGGGGAAAACACCTTCCTCCTCAGACCACAGCAAGTCCATCAGGCTGGTTTAACTACTGCAGGACAGCAGCATGAAGCAGAGAAAGATATTAGCCAGGATTTTTGGCTTATTTTGACTCTCATCACACTTAAAACGCATCACATTCTTGGGCCTGCCACGCATAGGAATAAACTTGAGTCTTTCATAAAAGCATCCTGTTCTATTTAAAAAAAAAAAAAAAAAAAAAAAAGGTGAGTTTCATTACACATCTGCAACTTTATGCCTTGAAAGGACTCAGCAAACACTGGTTCTGACAAAGGATTTTGCCTGAGACAAGATAAAGTAATCCTTAAACAAGCAAACAAAACCAGTTAACATTCAGCAACAGGAAAGAATCAGGGTAGTTCCACCAAAACACATCCAGGATTGACAAATTTGTAAGGCTGACCATCATTAAAACCCTATGAAATATGAGAACTTTGTAGGTGACAAAAACATTAGTGACAGTGAGAATTTCTCGTCATTGTTTCTGGAAGGCAAGATTTTTATCTTTCCGGAAAAAGCAGCAAAATGAGAAAGAGAAGGCGTGCACTTCAACAAAAAGGGAGCAGTGAGCTCTGTTTGAGGAGTAGGAAATTAGACCAAAAGCCAAGAGTCTCTCTCAAAAGCAAGATTCTAGTAGCAAGCAGAAAAAGTATTTTTACAAAAACGCAGTTATGTAGCCTAGTCTACCACCAGTCAGAGAATTACAGCAGGCAGACGGTTACCAAAAGGAATTGGGACAGATTCTGTTTCAGTAAAAGATGCTTCAATATTACTTTACAGAAAACTATTCTTCCCTGGATGCAGTAGAACCTGCATTTTTCTAGCATTTTTTTGATTTTTCTAGCAAGGAATGGGGCTGGTTTCTCTATGCCATGAAGCACAAAGTTTACTAACATGTCAGTTCATCAGCCACAGCACAAAGATTAAATAAAGACTAAAACTGCAAACAGACCAATTTAAACTTCTGCAAGATTACTTGACATGTAAGAATTTGAAAGAAGAGACTGCAGAGAACTGTTAGGAAGGCAGAATACTGAAGTACTTTTAGAAAATTTAATATCCTTTCATTTTTGGCTGATGTTTGCTTAAACACGTGTATTTGGGTCCTTTTTTTTTTTTTTTTTTTAAGCAGCACACAATGTCCTTGAACCTCAGGGTCTCATTGGAAACTTCCTGAAGTGTTCACTCTCACAGCCTGACACCATTGGGCTATAAGCATTTATCAGGACAGACTCTGAAAGAGTTGTTTACTCAGCTCTCCCCTCTTCACTTACCTTAGAGATGATTTACAATATTATAAACCATGTTTGTCCAAAGTATGGACCTGCACTTATACACCACTTCCTTATTGACGAGTAACTAATTTTTTATTACAGTTTACTCCTGTCAGCATCAGCGACAGCTGAATCTTGAAAAAAGTCATGATTCCAAACTATTCTAGCAGTCTTCCTTTTCTACTTTGCCCTGACTCAGTGTCACCCCCTCCTGTCTCCAAGCTGGACATGAACTGTTATCCTGCACCTTTGCGGTCTACGGCAACATAATGAAGATCTCAAACACAGCCCTCCCGTTGCCACTGCGAGCCTTCAGCCTCCAGCGATGCCGAGATGAGCACTTACACAGCAGAGGAGTGCCTATTGGTAAGGCATCCTCTGAACTCCTGAAGTTGCTCACGTTTAATTTGAACACTGAAACCGTTCATTTCGGACAAGACAGCCCCAAAGGTTCTAACGCTCAATGTTCAACCAGTCAAGCCACTGTCTCCTCGATGGCGAGACCAGTTTTAGTTCCAAACTGACCTGACTCTTGAAGTCTAGAAAGTCAATGAGAAAGTCTAGAAAGTCTTGAGAAGCCACCATCTAAAAACCACTGCTCTGCCAATAACCTTTCCACCCTCACAACGGACATTTTCAGAAAGTCCAGGCCACTAAATTGTTTTAGAAAGCCACGGGAACATAAGGCTTAGGGAGTTCCTCTCTCTTCACAGTCTCACCAGAGGGAAGCATCCTTTACACACGCAATGTTTTCTGGAGAGACTGCTCACACAGAAGGACAGCACAGGACTAGCCTACAACACGGCTCTACTGACTTTTCCCAATGTTATTCAGAGCTCATAAGAGGTTCGGAGAGCGAACCACCACAACTGCATCTCAGAGAACTTCAGTGGTTAATCAGAGAGACAATCTACCACAAAACCAAAACAGAATCACAGCTTCTTGCCACCAAAGTCTCCCCCAGGTGAGTTGCAGAAGTCATCCCTAGCTGACAGCTGCTACCCACCCAAATCCTGCAATGCAAGCTACGTTTACAATCCCTCTGCAAATCAGAATAACCCCTTGTAGGTTACGTACTCACACTATACACACTCGTGATCCACCATATCTTTTATGCCTCAGGAATAAGCCTTAGATTGATTTACTACTGACAGACGCTAGAAGCCATAACGAGGTTTATAATTTCTACAGCGTGAAGCAAGGGGTCACTGAAGGGTTGTTGGCTCCACACTCAAGCTCTCTTCATGTTTCACTTTGTGCAGGCTTTAAGGACATACAGAAAAAGAAGCAGTACATAAGCAAGGGTACTTGCTCATTGAAGGGAGGACTCATTGTCTCCTATTTACATCTAGTTTCAAAGAGCTATGCAAGCAGTGGTGCCTTTCACGCTTTTATGTGGTTTTAATTTCACTTAATATATAATTTTTTCAGTTAATGAAAGCTCTTAACTGGCAGCCTCCTTTGCCGCTAATGACAATGGTTTAGAACGAGAACAATGTTCTCAGAGAAAAAAAAGCTAGAACAACCTGAAAACTCAGGCCTCTCGTAGTCAAACTCCTCACAGTGCATTTGTCTTGAACTATCAATCACTACAGATATTCTGTTTTTTAAAAAAAAAATATTTTCTAGATACAGAGAAAAACATAGTAAAGGTTCTTCAGTACCTGAGAACGTAGTTCAAGCTCAGTTCCCAAACAAGTATCCCAATTCACTTGATGAAAGGGAAAATGCAAATTGAGCCCTTATCTCAGTTTTTCAGTTTTAGGGCTGCTTTTTCATCTTTGATTTTGAAAGAAGGTCAAAACTATATTCAGCTACAGAAGTGCACCAGCTAAAAGTGACTAGCATGACTCAAAAAAACCCTGCTCCAAAACCGGAGGTATCTGTTTATTTTTGAGGTATGGAGACATTTTGTGACTAGAGATGACACTGAATTTCCTGTAAGCTACTTCCTTACATCACGCATCACACTTTCTTGAAATTCACACTTGTTTTTCCCCAACAGACTCAAGAATAAAGCAGACTCATTTATGAAGCAAAAGGAGCTTTGCTAGTCAAAGAACTCCAGATAAAAATCAGTCACAGCGGGAAAATAATAGAAGCAAAACCACAAGCTTCCCTATACATACACTTCTCCTCTTGCCTCCCCTTCTACCACCTGTGCCTCCTTTCAGATTTGCCCTGTTCCTCAGCAGCACTGCCATTAACCGAGTATTCCAGGTTAGAAATATATGCAAATACATCAGCGAAGCACCACTACATGCATACCCCTGTAATAGCAAAGTCACGTTTTGCACTTTTGGAAAATACAGATCCCTTTACAAAGTAACCTACACAAGGAGAGGTGCAGCTCTGACAGTCACACTGGATCACGGCTTAGAAATGACAGCATCCGTCTGCGAGACTCAGGCATACAGAAGCCTGAAAGACTGCCTGGTGCGATGGAAAACTGCCCTCTGCTGTGGTGGCTTTGAAGCAAATAATTTTCTTTTAAGGTTTCCAGCAACATCTGCCCCCCAGACTGTGGCACAAAGCACAGACGTGAGCTGCATTCCGCTGTCGGCAACTCCAGTTGCACGCTGGGTGAAGGCCAGAAGATCTGCGTTTGTTTTCCGTAGTACGTACCTGTCCATTGCGGCGGGCAGCGGCAATTGTACGTGTTCACGCCGTCCACGCAGATACCTCCGTTTTGGCAGTTGTGATTTGGGCAGTCGTCAACATTGTGCCCACAGATGGTTCCCTCGAAACCTGGACAAATGAGAAACACAGCAGGCTGAAATGGGCTTCCAGCTTCTTTTGAAGGTAATTCACCCTTCATGTAGCTTCCCCTTCTTTTTTTCTTAAACACTTGGCCCATTAACCTAATCCTAATGAACACCAACCTAGCAGCTGACCAGAGACTTTGCTGATAGCACGCAGGTCAGATTACACAGTTAAAACACCATTTTCACAACCAAAAAGACAAGGGTATTTTTTTTTCTTTAAGTGACTAATGAGCACTGTCATTCAAAGCAAACAAAGCAAAGACCAAGACATTTATTCTACCATGAGGTAAGTTCGTCACTGCCCACCAAGCGGCAGTTAGAGCATCAGCCAGGACAAGATTTTCCCATGGCAAAAAAGTGCTTGGTGTTTCACTTCATGAATACCTCAGCATAGCTCATATGCCTTGACTACGTCAAAGAAAGATCTTCCGAGCTTTGGAAGTGAGGTTCCAAATTCCTGATCTGGCCCTCTTCAGTGTTAGGCAAGTCAGTCAATCAACAAATCAGCCACCACCCAAGTGATGCTTACACACTAAGCCCTGACTGAAAAGCAGAAGAAACCAGACACTCTTCCCCAATGAAAATCAAGGCTCCTAACCAATATAGCCACACCGGCAAAATATCCTTGCTAGATTTCCTTTTCCTTTCGGATAAGGAGAAGTGAAGACTTTGGGGAAAGGAGTTGTCAAACTTCATTAAATAAACCTGCCATTTCTGCTGGGTGAGAGAGCTATTTATCAAAGCACAAGTGGATGCATGCTAATGTGGATGAACTTAATTATTCCAGAACACACACGCTAATTTAAAACATCAGCTCTGCCTCTTCATTGCTTTGGAATGTAATATTAACATGACACAGTCCTCTCATCCAGAATTATGCTTTAACCCTTCTACTTTTGATGCCCTGTTCCAGACGCTTCCATAGCATCTGTGTCAAGTCACACAGACCCTCGAAGCAACATCTGGTCCGACACAGATCACGCTGTGTGGCAGATGAGACTGAAACCATAAAGCTCTGATGCAGCTTCTCCAGGCTACTGCTGCTTTCAAGAGACTCGAGATGCTTCCTACACATTCCCACCGCTCGAACTTCTCCAATACTACAGGCAAGAGTGAGAAGTGGAGTGCTGTTGCCAAGCTGTATCAAGTGCATCAGCATCTATCAGTAAGGAAGAACAGACTGAACATACTAAAAAAAAAACCCCAAAACCCTGCAATATTGCCCTGTCCCTTCAAAGCCCTTCCTACCTTCACCTAAGATCCTGAAAATTTCATGGCAGTAGAGGAGGTTAAAATGAAAAAGAAACGTAAAATGGTTAGCCTGAATCCTAATCATCACAGCAGTGTCACCCTGGCAAAAGCTGCTGAGGAATAAATACCAAGGAATGCAATTAGTATGAGATCACTACGTTTAAAAAACTGTATAAAACTACCATGCGTGATGAAAGGCCCAGCTGTAAAACACAGGGATATCCCATCCGCTTGCTTTTCAGCTCGAGAATCATCCCACTGACCACAGATTGCACTCATGTCAGCAATGTGATCAGCGTCAACACACCCAGAAGCACAAACGTAAAAGGTTTAAGTTTTCTTATCCTTTCGGCTCAGACAATATGAAGACCTACCATACTTTGCAGTAAACAAATCCCTGAGAACAGACATTTATTTAAAACTCTCTCACTGTACCACACACAAATTTAAAGCAGTCCAATGACATTGACTAGTAATAGAGCATAGAAGTCACCCTAATACTAAAACCTCACCAAGCCATTGCACATTTTTACATTTAACCAAATATACTAAGATCTAGGAGCTAGTCCTCAAGCATCTCATGCAAATGTAGGAAACCATTAATCCCACACTAAAAGCAGGAGGATACCACTAGTGACAGCAGAAGAGAAACAAAAGAGCATGAAAAAAAAAGAAAGCAACGTAGTAAAAAGTTTGAGAGAACTGACACAGAGCCAAGTGTGTTCAGTCAGAAGAAATCTCCAAGGGAAAAGGAATCATAAAGGGTCGAAATGGTGAAGTCAACACTACTTTGAGTGCACAGCTGAAAAATACAAGTTTCCTTTTTGGTAACTTCCCAATCTTCCCAACTCCCAAATTCCTTTTAAATTTTTCTCACTCTGAAGAACTTCGGCTTAGTTTCAGAACAGCTAAAAGTATAAATGCATGATTTCCATGTCCCACTTCCACCACAAGACTGCCATCTGCTTAATTTCTAAATAAAACTGTCCTAGTGGAGTTTAGCTTTTGTTCTTAAAATCCGTCCTTTAGAGTCAGTCGTTTGCACCAGCACACCTCTGTTTGAGCATGATAAGGATGAAGTTGCTCGGAGACGTGAGTTTTTCTTAAGCTGGGTCCCAGGATCTGATTTTGGCGTTACATAACCCGACTCTTTTCCAAAAGCCAAAAATTTGAGTTCACTGTTCTGATGTATTTGGACACCTGACACTGTTTCCTGTTCCCCCCTGTGCTGGGACTCACATGTTGTCCTTTCTGCCTCTAGAAGAACAGTTTGCAACACATATCCTGACTGTTGCTCTGTATTTCCAAGCATATCAAACTAAGGAATGGGAACCTCAAGGGAAAAAGTGTTCCCACTGCTAACAGCATGTTGTTCCTCCTCCAGTACACAGACGGATACAAGCAGATAACTTCACTCCTATGTCATTCGAAATCTCCACCCCATTCCAGAGCTCTGAATCCAGCTCCCTCCAAATCTTAATTTCTTAGCCTTATTTCAACGTAAAAATTACACCTCAGACCTTCTGCAGCACCCACTAGTTACAGGGACAGGAAACGATACCTGCATGAAAATGTCAAGTTATTGCCAGATTTAGGGCTGACAAGAAATTAGGGATCTCGACACCGAGTGCTAGAACTGACACACAGTATCATTTTAACACAGAAGCGAGGTTCTGCACACCAGGTGCCCAACAGCAGTTGTGTGCATGCAACCCCGACAGTTCTGCTTCTCGAAATAAATGCGAGAGAGCCAGCTGAGAGAGCCAGCTCACCCGGAGCGGAGGCACCCACGCCTGCCGCTGTGCAGAACCCCAGAGCCCCAGGGAAGCGGCTCACCTCTACAGCCCAGCAAGTGGGGTCTTCCCCACCGCGGAAAAGCCGGTTTGTCTGCTAGAGCCCACGGATGACGCTCCCAGCACGACGTTCCGCTAGGAACCGGCGTGAGGTTACTTCCTCTTCCCAGGAAGTGTTCCAGCTCTCATAATCAGCCCGCTCCAGCCTGACAGATCGCTTCCTGAACAAGCCCTTGGAATTCCCTAGGGTCCTTATCTTAGTTAATGGGTAATTATTTTGATGGATAACAATGAATAATCACTTTCCCAGCTAAGAACTTCCTCTATTGACTTGTTTAACATTCCATTAAAGGTTAGTTGCCAAATGAACTCCTTTTTTTGTCAAATATTTATAACTACGAGCTCATTCTTATATTTAAAGGAGTTGCTAATGCTTCAGGTTAAGTCTCTTTCACAGAAGCATTCGTTTTACCATGACTCTGTTATGACTGACCTAACATGCTCGCATGTCAGCACTCTTGTTTTTACCTAAATCAACAAAGTCCAGAGGAAAAACAATTACGCTACAAGGATAGAAAGCAAGAAGTTAACCTTCACACATATGTAGTATTGACAGTATATATATAACTTTTCACTTGCACTTGCCACCAAATAGTGACCTATTCTAACACATGACTTCATGAATTACCTAATGCAAGATTTGTTTGTGTAAATCCACAGGTGAAATGTGAATTTGAGAATTTAAAACAGCAGCTTGACTACGCTGGATAAACAGTGCTTCACTACTCTAGAAAAAGCTGCTCTAACACACAGTTACAGGATATAGGCTTTTTCTACGTTTTCAAGCTCTCATTCTCACATATCCACGTTTATAAGAAATGAAATTCACTCAGAAGCAAAGAAAACATTTCCAGGAAACAAACTTATTTCAGGCCAATCCAGGAGTAACCTAATTAAGCTTAAATTGCTGCTTGGGCACAAGCAGTTCCTTCAAAGCATTTTCACAGGTCACAAGATACAAAACCATACCAAAACCCATTCCAGCAGTTCAAGATGTAATTGCCTCCTGCCTCTATGGCTGTAACGAGGAGCTATGGTAACATCTTAAGGCCGTCCAGAAGGAAGGGAGAGAGCAATTCCATTTATAGTCACAGTATCATCGGCATTGCTCCAATTCAGAGAAGGATTCTAAAGAGGAATTTCTAGCCCATACTCTTGGCACTCTCTTCCAGATGAGCAGGCCTTGTTCACATCTTCCCTGGGCGTGACAGGCCACCATTTTTCTTGCCTCTCTGCTGACCTTTCCTTCCCAGATAAAACCTTTTCCAACACTTCAAAAGCTCTGCGCTGCATGCTGGGCTGTAGGGGGGAAGCAATAGCTGGGTGCCTTGCCCTTATCAGTTTAATGTAAGCACTTTGGCTTCTCCAAACTATTTTTTTTTTCCTTTTTTTGCCATTTTTCAAATGATTCGTTTTAAAACCCAAGTTGGCAAAACAACATGGCCAACTTAAACAAATACAGGAAATACAGAAGTGAAGGCTCTCAAAGCCACAGTAACTCACCCCCACTATACACGTTGTGTAACGAGTCCAAAAGAGCTGCTAATAATCCAAAACGTGTGTGAGCAGTGTGGGTGTGTAACTGTTACTACAGTAATCTCGTTCTCATTTCCTGACCGTAGTTTAGCCAGCCCACACGCTTGTCTAAGGGAAAATGTGCTCCTACCCAGTCTCGTGCCCCTGTAAGAGTCACAAAATCAAACTGTCTTATCAGCTTTAAAGGATCAAGTCCTTTAAACTTCATCTTCCCATCCTCTTCCCTCCCACCAAAGTGCTTCCGCACAAGACCCTAACCTCCTTGAACCAGCTAAACAGATCAGAAATTCAGTTTTCTTGAAGTCAGATCAAGCCTGTTAAAAGTTTACAATTTCAGTTTAGAAAGATGCAAAGTAGAAAAGCAACAAATTCACTGAAAGCAGCTGTTAGTTAAGACATCACATTTTCAGAGACCCCGTTCAAGCACTGTTTTTTCAAGCGTAGTTAGAAATGGCTGCTTTCACACAAAAATAAAGATGATACATTTCATTTTAAGATTGACTTTCTCGAATTCTTCAAAGTCACATGCTCGCTCAGCCAACCCAGAAAGTTGATGCAAAGGCTAAGGCTGGCAAAGTTAAGGTCATGAGCCAATACTTCAAGACAAAGGTCTCCAAAAAGAGAGAGTTCTAAACGCTCTTTCCGCACATACCCGTAACTCCAGATGATTCTCAGGAGAATGCAGTCACTCTGCATTCATCCTAGTCTATGGCAGCTATACCTTTCACATAAATAACAGAGAAATGCTTAGGGGAAGGGAGTTTACTTTTCCAGATTACCACACACCAAGTGTTCGTGTGCCAAACTGCAATACACTTAAGTAGGAAGTCTAGTCAAAAGCATTTCCAAACAATCAGTTTCCCATGGACAGAATTGCTTAGTAAAAAAAATATCAGTCTAAAAAAAACCCCAGCTGTGCTATACAGAAACATCTAGTGCTGCCCCGTAGTCAACATGAAAAGTGGATGGGGAGGAGCAGGACAAGATGAGACCACCAGGGTCCCAACTAGGTGACACACGGTCATTTGTAGGGATGGGTGCCTTGGTGGTGGGAGCCCAGCTTGACACACAAAACCAACACAGCCCATGATTCTGAGGAAGCACGTCACCCCTGCTGTGGATGAACTCGGGGCAGCTAACAGCATCAGCAAACAAACAAGCACCATTTCCCAGGACAAAAAGGGTGCAGCGGTGGAAATCTCCTACCATTTGGAGGAATTGGAGGAGAAAGTGGAAGGGAACAGAACCTAGTATGTTTTAGGGGTAAAGACTCAGAAGAAAACACGCTCCTCTTCTTTCAAGTACTGAAGTTAACCATGGCCTTTATCATGCAGAAACTCCATGAGAAGTCTTCAGAAGAACACAGGCAGGAAAGCAGCGAAAAAACTACACAAGAGCTTTAAAGCAGCATCATTTACCTGGCAGGCAGTTGCACTCAAAGCTGAAGTCACTTGTTTGATGACAAGTTCCTCCATTCATACAGGGCGACGGGGAACACGGCACATACACGCTCTCACAGCGGTGCCCTGTATAGCCTGGCTTGCACTGGCACCGGTACGAACCCGGCAGGTTGACACAGGTCCCGCCGTGCTGACACAGACCTGGCGTGGCACATTCATTCACATCTATCTCACACTTCTGGCCAGTGTAGCCAGCCAGACAGATGCAGGAGAACTTATTTCCAGATACAGTACATGTACTTCCATTGGCACAAGGCTGAGATGTGCAGGCATCTATCCACCGGCAATCCTTTCCTGTAGGATGAAGACAGAGTACTCCATTAATAACAAGTTATTTTTTGGCAAACAATATTTCCTTCACATGACCTCAATGTGATGGGTGTACTAAATCTTAAAATTATTAAAGGCAAATTTATGTCAGCATTTTACAGCATTTTTGGAAAAAAAAAAAATCAGTTTGCTGATTACAGTACAAAGTCATTTTATTTCCAGAGTAGCAGCAAGATGCCTATGTGTTTTATAAAAATAACCCGTGAACTGAAATCACGCTACACACTGACAGTCACTCCTCCTCTCTGTCCATTTAGACATGAAAGGAATGAGTTTCCACGTTTCCTCTCAGGCCGCCAATTACAGTTTTCCCATAGAAAGATTTTCCTGGCTAAATATATTTCAGTTTTTCTGGAAGGTAGACTGAACCCAAAGCGCAACATCCACTCCAGAGTAGCTTCTGCAGTCAGTTTTCCCATGTGGACAGCCCCACAAGAGCTAAATATCTTTCTGCTGACGTGTTAAGGGTAGGCAGCATGATTCCCTAGCCCTCCCTTGGCTTTTTTTGGTCATGAAGTCATTTAGACTTCTCGTTTCCTGTGCTGGAGGTAGTAAATTTGGGAGCATATTATGACTGCCCCAGAACATTCTAGGGGGACGTAATTCACAGAGAAGGGAGTCTGGAGGTACAAACACAGAACCCCACCTGTGTAACCCGGAGGACAGACACACTCGTACGTTTCCGGGCCATGGGGGTGACAAGTTCCTCCGTTCAGGCAGGGCTGGGACACGTAGCAGAGGTGCGACTCCGAGTATTGACAATCCTCTCCCGTGAACCCTGGAGCACATTTGCAGGTGGCCTTTCCTATCAGAGACGTCGTTTCACAGGTTCCCCCGTTCTTACAGGTATTGCTTTCGCACGGGTTTCTGTACTGGCAGTAGTCTCCAAGGAAGCCTTCCCGACACCTGCAACGGAGAAAAAATTACATGTGGCACATTGACCTGAATCCTCGCTGTCCTGGGAAGATAAGGGGAATGAAGTCCCACGACCAGCCAAAAAGTCCTGGAATTTGCCATAAATTAATGGCAGCACTCACAGACCTAAATGCTAACGTCAGAGATGTAACAAAGCTTCCTCTGGGATTGCCCCAAACGAGACCACTGAAAACTTCAGTTCAAATTGTGAAATCACTCGTTACAAAATAAATAAATAAATACGCATACAACCAGAGTTCATCAAATGCAGGCACGTATTCTTGCACTTCCCTTCAAAACTTCAGCGGAAGCCTAAATGTTAAAGAACTGCCAAGCTAATTCCTTGCGCTGATCCTCACTCAACAAAAACCCTTTTCAAAGAAAACCGAGCACTTTCAGTGACAGGTATTAACACCAGGTATTAGCCACCTTCCAGAATATTTACAAACTTTGTGCAAATGCTGTGTCTGAGGGCCTGAAGATCTATAGCAGACCTTTCTCCACAACGCTCCCATGAGACAGGAATACACTGTTATCCTCGTGTTGGTAAGTGCATCTGGGAGTGCGACACGCTGCTCCGCGCCGGGCTAGCAACTCGAGCGCTGCAGTCAGGTCTCCCACGCCCCTGGCCAGCACCCTAACGACAAGGTCACCGTTCCTCCGTCTCCCACAGAAAATGAGTACACACACACTATCTACAGCTAGGGTAATATTTTATACCAAGATCCGCGATTGCGGAATAATTGCGGTTATTTCTCTCTAACCTAAACTTATGTCAATACAGTCTGACTACACTTGTCAGCTGTAATCCATCTTTTAACTGGCCTTTGTACTAAGAATTTTCCATTTAACTTCTAGCAATACAAGACCCAGACAAGCAAGCCCATAAACCCCACCTTTGGGTCACCCACATTTGCTTCTTTCGGCAAGCAGAAAGCTGTAAGTGTATATGCTGGCCAAAAAAAGAAAAAAAAACAAAACAAAAAAAAAACCACAAAAACACCCCCCAACACAACATACAGAGGAGGACTGTCCATTTGCAGGTTTTTTTTCTACAGTGCACAGCTGCATGCTTTAACTGGTAACCTAAGATACACACAGCCTGAGAGAACATGTATTTCACTGCAAAAAAACTCAGAGGAGAACATTAGATATGCTTTGTTCCAGAACAGGACAGATGCAATTATTAAATAAATTAATTACTCAAATCCAAAGGGAGGAGATTCCAACAGCAAAAAAAATAGACAAAGTCCCTAGTTAGCCCCCAAACAAGAATGTAACAGTAAAAAGACTCACTCTTCCTTATGATGGATTGAAAAAAAACCCCACCAAAACAAAACAAAAATACAAAATGCCACAAAACAAACAAACCAACCCACATACCACACCTAACTGGAGAGGCCTTAAAATAGGATTAAAAAAAATAAATATAAGAACAGTCATGAAGCTCTGTTTTAAGCAAAATACAGGAATCTGCCTTTGTTCCTATGCCATGCAACACTTCCATCAATGAATAACAGTGACAAACATCAATGTTGTTCAAACACAGAGCTAAGAGAAGACAAGTTCTTCGCAGAGAGTGGTAACACAAATTGCTTAACAAGGCAGCACACAAAGGGTGCTTCAGCACTGGGAAGTCATGTGTCTAGAAACAGAACACAGAGAGCATCCTCCTCAAACCAGAAGACTGACCTGGGAAAGACAGACTTGCTCTGGTGGCCAGGAATACATTAGATGTACAAACAGCAAATACCAAGTAGGAACAGGTGAGATTATGCTACACCTGATACTTATGTGGTACAACCATTGCCAGACCATTACATCATTGCTGGTGTCTGCTCTTTAAGAAGGAAGAGCTGAAGTAAGTTCAAAGAAACCAACAGTAAAGATAAACAGAAAACTCCTGACACAACGACAAGCTCAGGTGGCTCAGTCTATTTACCAAAGGGAAAAGAAGAAGGGTATCCAAAAGCTCCAAGCACCCACAAAGAAACTCAGATTTAACAGTAGTTCCCAACCTGGAAGGTGCAGGGATAATAGCACCGAGAAGTTAAGAGTTCAAGAGGGATAAATTCACATCCGAAATAGGGTAATACCTATCTTCAGACATAAACTTGTGCACGGTCTCTCAGCAGCGGAGAGAAACAACTGGAACAACTCATTTAAGGTTGCACTGGAATTTCTCCATCACTCCTGCTTGTTTAAAAGAGCCCCAGGATTGGCTGTTTCAGAAAGAGCCTGCACGCTAGTTCAAACACAGCTATTCAGAGAGGTTATTATCCAAGTTACGCAAGGGGTCATTACTAGATGACCACAACTGTTTTTTCTCATGTTAAAATTTATTAACCAGCCTTAGCCATATGTCTAAAGCAGGAAAGGCATATAATAGATGTGCATAATTGTAATTTACCATTCCCCACGCCCAAATTAGGCTCCTTTCACCATACCTTAATACTTTCAACTTCATACCCAAGAACAGACATGAAAGAAGAGTTTTTGCAGGGCAAAGCAGGATGAATAAAGTCACAGAAAGCAAATCGTGAGACAATACCATTTGCAGAATATCCTCTGCCTCGTGTGCCACCCTCCGCGTAGCAGCTGAAGGCCGTCAGTCAGCGCGAGCGGTTGCCACCTCACACGAGAGGCAACCTTTGGGTATTCTGCGCCTAAACCACTGCAGTTCTGTAGAAGGCTTCCTTTAACATCCCAAATCCCTCCTTGGTATGGGTTAGAAATCAGTCCAAATGCCAGCAGGCTACAGCATGGCTTTGTAGGAGCTCGATCACACAGAAATCTGGCACCCAGCAAAGTCGGCCGTGCCAGAAGCTGGAAGACTGCTCGACTCCCACGACATTCAAGCCTGCACACGGTGCATTGGCTCGCTCCACTCAGAGACCGTCTGGATAACTACGGTTCAATCTTGTTCCTGGACATCTCTATGCAGCTGACGAACGTGTGAAGTCAAATTGAACTTGAGTCCCAGAAGGCTTAAAAGATTTCGTTACACGGGTTTCTTCTGGTTTCACCACTGCCAGTGATGGAGGGTTTGGGGCAGCTCGGTTGTCTTCAGCGTCAGCAGAACATCAAGCTCCTCAGAGTAACGGCGGCAGACGCAGACCATGCACTTGTAGTTCTCTTTCTCTTACAAAAGAAAGAGCAACAAACCTGAACTCCACAGAACCCCCACCTAGGGCATCTCATCAGGCAAACAAGAGGTCCTCCAAAGCCACCCACCGCTCCGACAAACACAAAATAAATCAAAACACACCTAAAAGAGAAGTCCCGAAGTGCTTTTTCACTGAAAGGCTGTGAAACAAACTAGAAGGTCTAGAGGAACATCTCGTGTTTTGTCCACAAGCAAATAAACCACCAAAATACACCTTCTCTCCCACCCTCCCAACACTCAGGGGTACATTTAACTGCTGCCCCTAGGGAACAGGGAGGATGGAGCCTAAATACTGAATAAGAGTATTGCTGGTATGACTTAAAAGGAAAGACTGTGCTCTACGAGGACACTCACAACCATCACCCACAAACGATCCAGCATTTTGTACACAAATGTTCTGGTACAAAGCTGAAAAGCGCTCCAAGACCAGGCTTGTTCTGCTATCTTCTGAGGTTAATCAGAAAAACACAAGGGGAGCACTCCAGCAGGGAACAGTAAAAGCTCTTTTAACTTCAGCTCTTTATATCTGGAAGGACAAAGTCTTACAGAATATGCCAGAGGGAAATGTGTCTGCCTGTGGAAAGATGGTGGGTCAGGTACACATGGCCTTCGTACCCATCATTTTGTTCTCCTCCTGGAGAAGTGCTCGGTCACACAGTTAGGCAAGTTTCCCCTTCAGCAATTCAGTACAATCCTTTTGGAATGCTAAAGAACAAAAACCCTACAGTTCAGATTTTCAGCCATGTCTCCTGTCATCAGCATTTCCAGGCACAAATACCAGTAATTTAGTTCCAAATGTTGGTGTAGACAAAACTGCAAATATTTGCCCCCAATTCATGTTGGGCACTGCTTTGTTTCTCTAAAAATAGAGGCAAACACTGAAAAAGCACAGTCTAAGTCCAGATTTCTTTAAAGGATATGATTATCCTCAACAGCAACTCCAGCTTCCCACCACCCCTGCTCTGCTCTCATCCCAACCTACTCTTTCAAGTTCTCTTTAGGAGAGGAGGAAAAAAAAAAAAGCCACTTGTCTACAGAACAGCTTAAAATTGTAGCAGCTTGTGTCAGCTCCAAATGACATGCTCAGAACAGGAAACCGAATCTTTTCCAAATAAAAGCCACTGTTTCTCCTCAGTTTTCCATCTAACGCTCAGAAACAGAAACAGGAAGATGAAGTTTGTTCTGGCACTTTCTGGAAGCACATGAGGTCTCTTAACCTACTTCAACAGGAATTTAATCTTTTAAGAACAAATTTCACATACAACTTAATTCAAATCATGATTTCTGAAAGCTTGAGAGTTTGAAATGGGAAAATGTCCTGTGGGCTGCATCAGCTATGCAGCTGCTTCTAATTAAAGCTTCTCCTTTACTCTCTCTGGGCTACTTTCCAGCACAAATACTTTAGTCAGAGCTCAGCCCATTCCCCCCCTCCCCTCTCCTTTTCAGCTCCAGCCTGCGTTTGCCTTAGCTCAGGCTCTCATGGAGCTAAACAAGAGACATAAAACCAAAATGAAGGTATTTATCTAAAGCTGAAGTATCCACAAATCCAGAGCCGCATTCAGTCTAGCTAGCTAGTACTACAAAATGAAAGCAGAAGACTCACAAAAGCTTTTGCCACAAAAGTACATTGAAGTTACCTCCCAATACTTAGTTCTTTCTGGCTTTCAAAAGACTTCTGGAAAATATGTCTGGCCTCTTGGAAAAAACTCCTCATCTGCCCTACTATATTTGCTTGGGCACATTCATAGGACAGTCTCTTCAAATGCACCTTATAGATTGCTTTAACCACTCTTCCAGATGTTTGATTTTCATGGGAGTTTCCTAT